AGGTCAGGGAAGCAACCATGCTGCTTCCGGAGAATCACTTCCGGTAAGCCCAGTCTCGCCTATCGCGAGAGTTCGGAGTTTGCAAGGGGTATTACGCGGCGCTCCTTGACTAAGGAGCGGTGAAACTTCTGCACCCGCCGACAGGTCGCCGCCGACAGGTCGCCGCCGCCACCGGACTGTCACCGCGCGCTCGTACCGCTTAGGTTTTGTCCCCGGCTCCCCTTGGGACTGTAAACCCAGCTAAGGGCCCGTGGGAGCCCGCGCAGGAGCCGGCGGTATTTCGAAGGGCGGAGGCCGAGAGCGCCGGGAGCGCCCCTGTCCAGCGAGCGGTTTGACGGTCCCTGAGCGTTTAGCCGCCGGCCCCGCCCGCTGGGCCTTTCCTCCGCGGGGCGCGCACCGCCGCCGGCGGGGCCTCAGCTCCGGGCCGTCGGGGCTGCAGTGTTCTCGCTCCTTCGCCGAGTCTGTGGACCTCAAACGCGGGCTTTTTAGATTTAAGACCCTCGTTTCCGCACTTACAACCCCCTTGTTTGGTGTGGTATTGGGTCCTGACTTTTGAAATTCCTTGGTCAGATATTTCAAAAACAGTAGATTCCCCCCCCCTCGCTTTTTCTTTTGACAGGGGGAGAAGAAAATCTTTACTAGCTCATAACCGTTTTTCAGAAGAAAAGCCACTTCAATACCAGTAGAGTAAGAAAGGCACAATCCCAGAGTAAGGATGGCCCTTAGTTTGCATATCACATTATAAAATAATTTAGTATATCATAAATAGTATAATTTTGTTGCATGCAGATGAAAACTAGGCATTAGAACCACCCTGTTAGAAAGCATTGATTTAGCACTGGTTTGGGGAGCCGAATTTAGGTTAAAAACCAACTTCAGTTTACTAGATGTTTTGGGGCACGTCAGTCAACCTTCAGCAAAGCTGTTTCCCATTAGAAAAATGGGTGTATGCAAGGACTACAGGTATTATTGTAACAGAGAAGCACAAATGTGACTCCATATTGGATCTGCTGCTTTTACGTTCACCTTTGTATTCTCTTGCTTTTGCTACACCTTAATAACTAAAAGAATGTTGCCTGTAGCCTGAAATATGAGGCAGAGCCCATCCTCAAGGCTCTGACCTTTAAAGGTGTAACCCTTTCCCATTCATATAGAGATAAAAAGTTGCAGAGCAGAGAATAACGTTTGCCTTGTTGGAGGCTGATAGGAGCATCCTGACCTGACCTAGTGGACGGCTGCAAGAACGAAGAATTCTGGCCCCAAGAAGTTTGCAGCAGTCAGCCACACCCCTTTCCCTTTTAGTGTAAAGCCACTATCTTCTCCATCCGCTGGCTTTCCGAATAAAATTGCTCTTCTTTGTTTCAGTAACTCAGCTTTTGATTCATTGGCCTGCCATCCAGCGGGCAGTAGGAGCTTGGACTTGGTAACAGTATGTTAAAAGCATAGTTTACATTGCTTCGTAAAAAACCAGTGTGATGGTTGTCACTAGCCTAGTGCCTTATGCAAGGCTGGTTTAGAGACCAGAGGAAAGTCATACTATAAATACCCATACCCTTTTATGTTAGTAAAATCAAGTTTAAAACTGGATTGGAAGTTTGGAAAATGTGGAAGAACTCAAAAGCTGGGCGAGACTCACCACCTGGACTACAGCACACTCCCCGAATTAAGAAGGGAAATAGTGTGTGTTTTCAGTATGATTTACTACAACACTCCGTCCCTGCTCACCACCAACAGGTGAGTCCCGTAAATCATTTTTTTAAATTGAGGTGTAATTGACATATTACATGAAATGTTATGAGTAAGATATTGAAGATTTTAATGCAAAGCTGCTGTTCATGATTTTTGTGTAGTGAGTTGGCTGTAGTATTTTACTATTGTCTGTTTAAAAAAAGGAAACCTAACTTATATCCCCTTTCAACTTTATTGTATTTAATTGGTACAGATTGTGTGTGTGTGTTTTAGAATACAGACTAATTCTAATTTTTTTAAAAAAATCTACTCTCAGCAACTTTCAAGTTTGCAACAGTATGATTAATTACAGTCACCATGCTGATTATATGTTATATATATATATATATATCCCCATGACATATGTATATATATAATCTCCCCATGACTTAGTTATTTTATAACTGAAAGTTTGTGCCTTTTGTCCCCCTTGGAGCATTTTGCCCTCATCCCACCCCTCCCCTCTGGCCACCACCAATCTGTTCTCTGTATGAGCT